TACAGGTGCTGAGCCAGTTTTTTGTTTTTTTGTTAGTTTGCAATTTTCAAAATAACTATAATAAGGAGTTCTGAGAAATCCATTCATATTTTCCTTTGTAGCTTTATTGTTATTTTTATTGTTAGAATGTTACTCTTCACCCTTAACATTGAGAAATGTTTATCTACATAAATACTAAGCGATCCTGTGGGGCTGTTTTCTCATTCTGGTGTGGGGTGTCTTCTCCCTGCAGGTTCATCACCTTGCTGGGTCTCTCCCTTCCTTTGGCTGGAACAGTGTACGTGGCAGCCAGGGGGTGGGGGTCAGACTCCAGTACATTGCCGGAACCTGGGGCACCTTCGGCCAGCTACGGGAATCTGCCTTTGAGAGAGGCAGGGAGCCATGAACAAAGAAACAGGGTCACAGGGACACACTGCCTGGCCCATCTCTCACTGCCAGACACCCCAAGCAGAGGAAAAAGTAAGCATCTTAATGAAACTGAGACCACCCAAGAGAGGTGACTGGGAACATAACTCCTGTAGGGCTGGATTCTAGTGAATGTCCAGCAGCTTCTAAATGTCAGGGTGGAGGTTGAATCTCCGCTCTTTACAATTCAGTCTTTGTTTACCATCAGAGTGTTAAGGCCAGGCAAGGTCACTAAAAAGGCTGCTTTATTTCTTGGGTACAATTGACCAGTATGTTTTTGTGCTAATCAAAGACTAGGTTAGAACAGAACTTGGGGTTTCACTGTAGTAATTCTCCAAGGGACAGTTCCAGAATCCCAATATCTATTTTCAGTGTCGTATTTACACACATGACCCATAGAAGCTTTCTGTCATCACCATGGTAAATGATTTATTATGTATAAATTGAAGCCAGGGGAGTGTGTAACACATGCTAATTCACACAGCAGAGTATGTCAGAGCCAGAAATAGATAACCTAGTATAGTGCAGTGAGAGGCTGGATTTCAGTGGGTCACACTGTGTTGTGTTCTAGCAAAAGGTGAAAAGAATTACCTTTAGTTTTGTCTGCTTATTCTAGTTCAACATACTGTATCTCTCTCACACACAAATAGCCTGGTCATGCAAATAGATTTAGAACATGTGGAATGATTTTTGGCAGATCCCTCTTAGGTTCACACAAATGTCCTTCCTTACTCCAACTAGGGGGATAAAAAGAAAACAAAATTTCAATGAATGGACCAGAAGAATGTGAATATAGGACACAGTGGCCACGGTGGGGTGCGCCACATGTAGAAGGCAGAGCACTGATTTTTCTTAGATCCCATTCAGGTCTTAAGGCAAAATAAAAACTGAAGCAACACCAACAAAAAGCCCCAACAGCAAGTGAAACAACAACAACAACAACAACAACAAAATAGTTGTTCATGTAAACAGAGATACAATCTAAGAGGGAGCTGAGAAGGCCTAGAGCAGTGGTTCTTAACCTTCCTGATGCCACGACTAATATAGTTCCTAATACAGTTCCTCATGTTGTGGTGACCCCCAACCATAAAATTATTTTCATTGCTACTTCATAACTGTAATTTTGCTACTGTTATGAATTGTAATGTAAATATCTGATATGTAGCATGTATTTAGGTGACCTCTGTGAAAGGGTCGTTTGACTCCCAAAGGGGTCGCGACCCACAGGTTGAGAACCACTGGAGAGTTCCTGCTGTTCTATGGGCCTGGTTTTGCCTGGTTTTCAGTGTCTCTCTTTGTCACTGCCACGGCGTCATAGCTCACAGCAACCTCATACTCCAGGGCTCAAGTGATTCTCTTGCCTCAGCCTCCCAAATAGCTGGGACTATAGGTACTCATCACAATGCCTGGCTATTTTTAGAGATAGGGTCTCACTCACGTTCAGGCTGGGCTCAAACTCCTGAGCTTGAGCAATCCACCTGCCTCAGCCTCCTAGAGTCCTGGTTTTGCCTTTCAAGGACCAAGAAAAATACTCTCTTATTTCTATCATAGCCCTATCTGATATTGAGGATGGTTATGAGGGCCTTGCCAAGTCACAGAATCTCTCAACTCCCTCTTCCTGGCCCCTGGCTGTAGACAGTTCCCCCAGGGGTCCTCAAACTTTTTAAACAGGGGCCCAGTTCACTGTCTCTCAGACCTTTGGAGGGCGGGACTGCGGGCCCTGGGACGAGTCAGCTGCTAAGCAGGACAGGCAGAAGTGGCAAAAACACCCAGAGGGCCAGATAAATGTCCTAGGAGGGCTGCATGTGGCTCCTGGGCCGTAGTTTGAGGACACCTGGTTCCACTGTCAGAAAAGGTGGAGAGAGCACATGCTTAGCAATCCTCAATCAAACCTGTATCAATGGCCAACTCTGACCTGGTCAGATTGTTTGACCTTTGATGACCCTCAGTTTCTACCTATATAAAATAGGATCATGTAGTGAGATTTATTGGAGGAATGAAATAAGATGATGTGTACTCACTTCACCCTAGTTTCAGTCCTCTTTTTCTCATTCCCTTCAGTTAAGCTAGGAGAGGGAAGAATTAAGTTCTTTAAGAGCTTTAATTTGTCAAGATCTCTCGCCTGGGCTGAACTGACTTCCTGAGTGAGCATCAGGTAAGCTGGAGGCCAGGGGCGAGCCGAGGGCTTTGGAGACACAGCATCGGTATTTACCATTGCGTGCATTGGGCTAAGCTAGTCCACAGGGTCCTGAATTGATGGCTAGATTACAGGATTTAGAGCAGACACACGTGGTGTGGTGTCAGGAACTGAAACCTTAGGCTCTTTACCCCAAATGAGACTCCCCTGGAGCAGAACACTGAGGCTGTGTTAGCTTAGAGAGATTTCTTGTTACAGGAGCTCACCCTTTGCTAGTTAAATGGGGAAAATATGAGCAGATGTGTGAGGTTTCCCTGAAGTAAACTAATAGCTGTGAATTTTAGCCCCTGGGTGTCAGGGCTCTGACCTCTTGGTCTGCTGCCTAAGGTGGCCTCACAGTACTAATAACTGAGAAACTCCACAGGACCTGCCAGGTTTTTAAAAGCATTGTCACAGCCAGTGGGGCTCGCAGCAGAACTACCTGGAGGGCTTGTTACTGCACAGATCGCTGGGTCCTAACCCACAGATTCTGATTTCGTAGGCTGCTGTGGGGCCTGAGAATGTGCATTTCTAATAAGCTCCCAGGTGATGCCGAAGCTGTTGGCTTGGAGAACCCCACTTTGTGGACCAGTGACCACATGCATTATTCCCCCCCCCGCCCCCCGTCTCTATGATTTATAAAACTTACCATTTGGCTTGGTGCCTGTAGCTCAGTGGTTAGGGTGCCAGCCACATACCTCCCAGGTTGGCAGGTTCGAACCTGGCCTGGGCCTGCTAAACAACAATGACAACTGCAACAAAAAGATAGCAGGTAGGGTGCTGGCTCCAGATGCTGGAGGTAGCGGGTTCAAACCCAGCCGCGGCCAAGAAACTGCAAAAAAAAAAAGATAGCTGGGTATTGTGATGGGTGCCTGTAGTCTCAGCTACTTGGGAGGCTGAGGCAAGAGAACTGCTTAAGCCCAAGAGTTTGAGGTTCCTGTGAGCTGTGATGCCACGGCCTCTAACGAGGGGACATAGTGAGACTCTGTCTTAAAAAACAAAAACAAAAACAAAACCCCTTTCCATTTACAAATGAGCAAAATGCACCTTAGAGAGGTGGACCCCAGTTCCTTTCAGAAGACTTTATAAACCACTGATGGTTAAGTTCACCCATGAAGAGACTTTAGATGGGAAAAAATAACAACAAAATGCCTGGAGCACTTGCTTGTGATAGTAGGTACCGGGCCAGACATTTGACATTGTTCTAGAATCCTCAGAATCCTGCCAAATTCATGCTCATTCTAAAAGTGAGAAAACTGAGATCAGAGCCAGTGAAGAACTTAGAGCCCAGGTCCTCTGTCTCTCCACTGCAGCCTGTGGCTTCTTGGGGGGGGAGCCAGGTGGCAGCAGGTGCAGGAACCTGCTGGCTGCTCTGTCCTCACTGCTGATTCCTGGCGAGTGACAATCCTGAATGAAAAGGGCGAGGGCCGTAGCTTCAGGCAGATACACAATCACAGTGCGTGACTTACACGGAAGAAACTCCTATTTGTGGCTGGAGCTTCAAAATGTTACGTAATTACGTTCTTTAATTTAAGAAATTGATTTAGATTGCCAGAGCTTGGTTGCAAGCCAGATCTCATTTGTAAGTTTTAATTCTGTGAGGACCTGTTAGTGCCCACAACGTTTAAGGCACTGAGCTTCGTCCAAGAAAACAAGAATCTCTTAGAGACGCTTGAGTTTTGGAAGTTGTGCTTCATAATTCTAGCCACTTAGTTGGCTCTCAGGATAGGTTAAATTAAATTTAAAAGAAAAGGGAACAAATTAAGTAGATGCTATTAACTGTTCTTAAAGTGACAGGGCTTCAAATGCAGGCAGTAATAGCTGTGTTCTTGGCCTCTACTGGCAGGGATCTATAAGATCTTCTCGTTTGTTCTACATGAGAGTCCTATGATTATAAGATCTCCTGTGATTCCTATTCCCTACCCTGAGCTACTGTACCACCTGCCCCTCTATTTTCATGCCTGTACATCGGCCTATATTTGGGCCATTATCTGTTAAGTGGCTTGTCCTTGGCAGTGCACCAGGAATGCTGTTCCAAGTGACATGCTGACTCTAAGGATCACGTAGTTTCTCACAGACCTCTGTGTTCTCTTCATCAAACAGGACTGGGGTTTGCATCCTTGGGGCCTGAGCTTGGGCAGTGCATTCTGTGGAAAGAATGAGGGGCAGTAACCTCAGGTCAAGTCTGTTTGTTAGGGAGCGTCAAGGTTCAAAGGGAAGGGAGACTAAATATGAAAGTCCACAGATAGACCAAGACACAAATACGGAGGCTAGGACTGAGCAGTCTAGGTCAGAGCCAGAGGCTTCTGGGCAGTGGCTGAGATCTCTCTGCCTCTTGCTGTGGGGTAGTTGGTTCATGGGTAGGTCTGGCTGTCAGGGTGGACAGTAACACCTCTGCTCTTGCCTAGGGATTCGGGGAGCCGTGGCTCACGCTCTGCAGTGCTTTTCTTAGCAGAAGAAGGTGCCGACCATCTGGACCACAAAGATACCCATAGGCACCTGCCCTGCACTGAATGGCATCCGTGTCCTGAGTCTCCTCTGGATCATCTCAGGACACACTAGCCAGATGACCGCATGGCTGTCTCTGGGTGTGGAAGGCTGATGAGCCTTTACTCTCTAGCAGTCAGGGGAGAGAGACTCTAGTGTACCGGGGTCGGGCTTGCCCAGGGCATGGGAGGCTGGCAGCATAACCCATGGGCAGCCTCCTTCTGCCTTGGAGACACAGTACATGGCTGCCCATAAATGAGATTTCCAGGCCAGTGTCCAGTAGCTCCTTTAACTCCTCCTAGGTATAAATCAGCACATGGCTGCCAGGTGGCCAGAGCTGGATTTTCCCTCCTGTCATGATAGGGAATAAGTAGATGGTATGAACTATTCTTAAAGTGACAGGGCTTAAAATGCTGGCAATAGTAGCCGTGTTCTCACGATCACTTACTATGGGTCAGCCTCTACTTGAAGTGATCTATGAGATCATCTCACTTGTTCTACATGAGAGTCCTATGATTATAAGATCTCCTATGATTCCTATGCCCTACCCTCAGCTACTGTGCCACCTGCCCCTCATTGCATGAAGCCAGTCTGTTTTCTTCCTAGAAAACACAAGCATAAATAAACGTGGTGCGCCGGTATTAAGTCAGTGTTTCTCAACCTTGCCCCTGTTGCTACCCTCCCATCAATAACAGCGGTACCCTCCAAACATGGGACCTGTACACACAGGTGTCAGAATGGAGGGGAGGGGCCCATCCAGGGCAGTTGGAAGAATCCTCCCAGGTGATCTGCACCAGTCACAGACAGTCCAAGGGGAGCTGAGGGAGCACAAAGGAGCTCAGAGCCTCTGAATGACAGTTAGGGACCTCAGGCTCCATCCACCTTTTGTCCCTGGTCTAAGTTCTCCTTTTAAGTGAATTACAGTGATTCTTAACTGTAAGACACCCTTGACTCCCAAATACAACCAAAGAGTAAAAGTGTTCCTCTTGCTTTTTCTGAAAAGAAAAGATCACATGATTTTCTTCCATTAAATAAAAAGACACTGCTTTTTACTTTTAATGTTTATTACAGATAATGTGCTTGAATGGAAAACCAGAGTGCTTAAAAACCCACTGTACCTTTCTTCTTGGAGTGGCCCGTTCTACCTTGGGGTTGATACATTTTTCCTGATCAGGTAATAAGGCCAAGCTATGTTACTTTGCTGTTGTGCTGGTTGCTGTTAGTTTCAGGATGTATGTATATGCGTGTTGCCATTCTCACTTTAGTGAGAAAAGCTGAACGGCCCACGTTCACTCACCTGGCTGGGCCTTTCCTCTGTCCACTTTTAGGCAGGACTGTTGTCAGAAATGGCTCCCCTCTGTATCTCTGGTTTACTAGCTGAGTAAGGATGGCTCTATAGCATGGACCCATGACAAAAGTCAACTTTATTCATCAAAATCGTTTATTTCAGTTTTCAAATTCTGGTCCATAGACTGGTACAGATCCATGGTGAAGTTTCCAAGTCTCACGATAGTGACATGGGAAAATTTAAGAAAATGGCATGATGTCTCCCAAAGTTATGGTTATTTAAATAAACAGTCAAGAGTTGAAGTTTCTTAATTGTTTGACCAATGTCAAGCACTGTGTTAAGTGCCTTCAAGTGGTATTTCATTTAATTCTCATGATATTCCCATGCAGTAGGAAGGATTGTTAAAATTCCCATTTCTTTTTTTTTGTACTTATATGAAATTCATGTAGCATAAAATGAACCAAAGTATAAAGTTTAGTGGCAGTTAGCATATTTTTAATGTTGTAAAACTCCCTCTATCTAGTTCCAAAATATTTTCGTCACCTTACCCATTAAGCGGTTACTCCCCAGTTTCTGGAAACCACCACTCTGGTTTCCAGCTGTATGCATTACCCATTCTAGATACAGCATGTATATGAATCACACAATGTGTGGCCTTGTGTACCCCACTGCTTTCACTCGGTGTGGCGTGTTTGAGGTTCACCCATGTTGTAGTATATATCCATGTTTCATTCCTTTCTATGGCTGAGTAATATCAGTTATGTGGATACAGAGGCCAAGATGTTTGAAGTACCAAATGTCCAAGAAAACCATAAATAAATGTCAAGACTACATATCTCACACCCAGATTGGTCTGGGGCCAGGAAATTCTGTGCTTAACTTTTTTTTCTTTTTTTGAGACAGAGTCTTACTTTGTCGCCCTTGGTAGAGGGCCATGGCCTCATAGCTCACAGCAACCTCAAACTCTTGAGCGCAATAGATTCTCTTGCCTCAGCCTCCCGAGTAACTGGGACTACAGGCGCCCACCACAATGCCTGGCTATTTTTAGAGACAGAGATCTTGCTCTTGTTCAGGCTGGTCTCGAACTTGTGAGCTCAGGCAATCCACCTGCTTTGGTCTCCCAGAGTGCTAGAATTACAGGCGTGAGCCACCACAACCAGCCTAACTTCTGTCAGCGGTCCTCAGAGAGTAGTCACCTGGAACTTGGTAGAAATGTCAATCCTTGGGTGCTTCCCCAAACCCAATGAATCAGACCCTCTCGGGCTAGGATCAGCAATCTGACCTGTCATAAGCTCTCCGGGTGATCCTGATGTTCGCTGAAGTCTGGAAAGCTCTGTGTGAGCCCAGGTGGGAAGAGCTGAGGCAGATCCTCACACCTGTCTAGGGACAAAGAAATACTTTTCTTTTTTTCTTTATCTCTGTTTGCTTTCATTTCTCACTGCTGTTCTCTGTGACTTTTTATCCTTCAGTTTTTATTTTATCATTTTAGAACATACACACCACCTTCTGGCCCCAGACTAGTGCGGGTGTGCGATACATAGTCTTTTGCATTTGTAGTTTTCTTGGATGTTTGGTATTTTGCTAGCCTTGGCCTGTGTTTTAGTTATCTCAGGGCTGACCCAATGGCTTCTCTGTCCTTTTATTTAAAATTGTCTTTCAAATGATGGGACTATTACTAATAACGATACCTGGTGTTGCTACTATGCTAACAGTTTGAAATCTCTTATCTCGTGTAATTCTCACAATAAGCCTATAAAGTTAGTACTAACATCATCCCGATTTTTGCAGATGAGAAACTAGATGTTCAGTGAGAAAGGCCCAAGTTACACAACTAGTAAGGTTAGAACCACAGCTTAAGTATAGTTTGTTTCACGCAGAAAACATGTTTTGGCCACTCTGTCAAAATATTTACATGGTAAAGCCAAAGACTTGTGATTGTCTTTAAGAATAACTAGTTTCAGCTCGGTGCCCATAGCTCAGTGAGTAGGGTGCCAGTTACATACACTGAGGCTGGCAGGTTCGAGTCCGGCCTGAGCCTGCCAAACAACAATGATAACTGCAACTAAAAAAATAGCCAAGTGTTGTGGCAGGTGCCTGTAGCCCAGCTACTTGGGAGGGTGAGGCAAGAGAATTGCTTAAGCCCAAAGAGTTTGAGGTTGCTGTGAGCTGTGACACCATTGTCACTCTTTGGTGAAATAGTGAAACTCTGTCTCAAAAAAAAAAAAAGAATAACTAGTTACTGGGTACAGTGGCTCATACCTGTAATCCTAGCACTTTGAGAGGGTGAGGTAGGAGGATCACTTGAGGCAAGGCATTTGAGACCAGCCTGGGCAAGAGTTCGACACAGGCCTAGCAAGACCTTTGCTCTATGAAAAAATAAAAAAATTAGCCAGCAGGGCCATGTGTACCTGGAGTCCCTGCTACTTGGGAGGCTGAGGCAGGAGGATCCCTTGAGCCCAGGAGTTTGAGGTTGCAGTGAGCTATGATACCATTACACTCTAGCCTGGGTGACAGAGCATGACTTATCTCAAAATTAAAAAAAAAGAAGAATAATTAGTTGGTGATTGTTTTGTAATCCTTCCCCACCTCTTGGGCCGGCTTCATCCATCTCTAGTGTGTGACTTATTTTTTGTAGTTTTTTGGCTGGGGCTGGGTTTGAACCCACCACCCTCAGCATATGGGGCTGGTGCCCTACTCCTTGAGCCACAGGTGCCACCTGTGTGATTTTCTTTGTTAAAGTCTGCTCGGGAATATGGCTCTCAGCCCCTTGTAACTGGTTATCTAGTTCAGAGCCTGTTTTCCTGCCAGTCCTTCTGGTTATCCTCTCTTTATGAACTGGAAGGCTGGGTGGTGCACGCTGGCACACACAGCCAGACCCAGGCTTTGCTTAGCAACCACATTGGCAGAGGGGAAGTCAGTTACTCTGAAAAGAAAAGACTGCCCTGATTCCTCCTTTCCTGAAGTTAAGAGGAGGCCGGAATCACAATTGGCTGCCCTACTTCCCCTTCTTAGTGCTCTCTGTTAGATGTCTCTATAAATTTTGTCCCTATTATAATGAGTCCAACTTGCTGCTTTTCAAAAGAAAATCTGGCCAGCAGAGAATAAAGACATTCTCCAAAGCTCCCTTGGAAGGTGCCTTCCAAGTCCTGCCTGGCACCCATAGCTTTGTTTTGCACTAGGAAATACATCTGCTCCTTAGGAAAACTCCCACAAGGATCACTGGGATAAAATGTCAAGAGGCTGGGAAACTCACAAACGTGCTCGCCATCGAGTTCTTTAGCTGAACATGCTGGGTAATGACTTTGTTGTCATCAGGATATGTTGGTTAAGAATTCTGTGATCTTGGGCAACTCAATAACTTTGAGTCTCACTTCCCTGTTAGGGAACCAGAAAGGAAAATATCTTTCCTTTTACCTAATAGGACTATTTATTCATCTAGCCAATGATTTCCTCAGTAGACATTTATGGCAAAGTAGTTTGGTATGGCTGGCGAAGCAAAAGCGTCTCATTAGTGAAAGTACCCTGAAAATGATGTTCTTCTACAGAACAGAAGACTTTGACGCTATTATTCCAGAAGACCGATGTGGTAGTCATGAGTACTGTTCACCAAATATTTCTGTCTGCCTTCTAGGCACTTGGCAACATTTCACTTTCTGGCCCCATTGTGGCTGAGTGGGCCAGTCATTAGTGCTGACCAAGTGGTACCTGGCATTCCGTTATGCCAAGGGCTTTAAACTCTTATGCTAGAGCTTTAAACAAGTCACTTTTAGACTAGAGTGTTTAATTGCTGGTTTCAGTGGAATTCTTCCATGGTCATTGATGAATTTGAGATGATGGCATCTCTACCAGCCCGGATTCCACGGTGAGGAAGATTCTGAGCCCAAGGCACTGCCCTGGGTGTGTAAGGTGAGCAAGGGGAAAACGATTATTTTAAAACGTGGAAGTGCTTTGTTATTGCAGCATAATTTAGTGTACCCTGATTGACACAGCTGAATTCATCAGCCAATCAATTGTAATATTGATAAGTAATTCCTGTGATAATTCTTTTTCTCTTAGTGGTTGGTTAAAGTGCAAGCTCATTTTTAAAGATGCCTCAGAATTCAGACAAAGGACTAACCCCCAAGTTCATACTCAGATACTTTTTCAGTTGCCTGATAAGGTAGGTTTATTTATATAATATTTAATTTTCCTTATTCTTATGTAATCATTTCTTATTTTTCAGTCTTTAAGCCTCTTATTTCGAAAGAAAAATAAACTAACATAAATAGTTTTCTTCCTTATACAGTTGATTTTTGCTTGTTTGATATGGTTCAGATTCTATCAGGACAAACCATGAAAACTGGTATCTTCCCCTGGCAAAAACATCCTTAGTCCTCAGCTGATGGGCAGCTGATCTTAATAAATGTACTGCCAGATTTTCATGAAATCTGGATTCAATGGGAGAATTTGCAAATAAGTAATAATTGGATCCTGAAAATCAGCACTATGTGTCATAATAAAAATAAATAAGACCAGGAGAGGAGTTTGGTTGACCCTTGGGCCAGTGGATGTTCTGCGGAGAGGCAGGGAGGGAGGAAGGACGTTGGTCTCCCTTAGTAACATGTGCTTGGTTGAAGCAGACGGGATTCCAACACTGGAGCAGAATCTGCTATCAGTGAGAGCAGAGCAGAGCATGGGAGAAAAGGAAACTTCAGCTCGTGTGTTCAACCCTTTCATTCATACATTTTCGAAACCATGGTTATTTGCCAAGCTGGAAGCCAGCCCTTGCTACTTCTGGACCATACCCATCTTGTTAAACCATCCTGTTGCAAATTAGAAAGGGGAGTGTTGGAACCTTCTTTGAGTAAGTGATGTGACGTGGGCAAGCAGACTCTGTATAGTTGGACTGCTGAGCCTGCATTCTGGCTTAGTCACTTACTAGCTGTGTGACCTTGAGTAAGTGTCTCGACCTTTCTGTGCCTGAGTTTCTTCATCTCTAAAATAGAAAGAATGGTGGCATTTACTTTGTAGGACTCTCCTGAGAATTAAACGAGATAATGTATGTAAAGAACTCAGAGGAGTGCTTGACGTATAGTCAGCTGTCCTAAGTATTCACATCTTTTAACTTTTTCTTCAAATGGGGCAAGATGGAAGATGAGCTCAGGGTTGGATTTTTGTTTATCTCTTTTCACTGCAGTCTTTGTGGTTTCTTCCAAGCTTCACCAAGTCTAGCCTTCCTCCCGGGAAGGTCAGAGCTCATTCTTTCAGTCTATTTTGGCGGTGAGGCACCAGGTTGAGCAGCTGTCCTATCCAGAGGGCTTCTGGAGGAGAGGGATTGGCACACAGGCCATGGCAATCAGTGCTAAGATGGGCTAGTTAGGGGTTGGGGCTGGAGATCTAATAGCATGGGGGAGTTCTGCTTGGGAAACCTAACTTCAGAGTCAGCTGGGGAGTGAGGAGTGAGGAGTGAGGAGTGAGGAGTGTTTCTCAGGGCAGATGGAGCACTGATGGGGGCAGAGAAGCGTGGGAGGAGGGCAGAGGAGTGGGTGCTGGGGATGTGGTGTGGGGGACGGCCCCAGTGAGTAAATTACTGCAGTCTCTGGGCAGGAGGGCTGGGTGTGGACTGGTGACTGGCTTGAGAATGCCGAGAGGAGAAAGCAGGGACTCTGGGATTTTCTGGCTCAGGCATCATGGCTGATGGCACTGGTTTTCTTGAACTCGGGAACTCTGGGAGAGGGGCAGGTTGGAGCGGGAGCCAGGAAGAGAATGCATCCAACTTGGGACAAAACTATATGGAAAATGTAGGGAAGTGACACCAATGCGCAGGTTCAACTCACCCTCTCTCTCTCAGGTAACCCCAGAGGAAAGGGAGTCAGTGTCTGGTCATTTTGACTTCTCATGCTCACTACTTGGTGTAACTACTTGGTTGTGAGTTGTCACCTGCCTGCTGACTGCCAGGAGGACTGGGGCTGGCCATTTGTTCACATGCTCATTCTGTATTCAGGCCGTGTGCCAGGCACTGTCCTCTGCCCTGGGGACACAGTGTCTTACACATGCAAGAGTGCCCTCCTGCGTGGAGGAGGTAATTATGACATTTATTTAGCCCCAGTGGACTCAAAATATTTTGGAGACATTGGGGCTAAATACATTAAATACAAATTAATCGTACCTATTTCTTTTTGCTTTTTAAAGTGTGGCTACTGGCAAATGTAAAACTGGGGGAAGCTGTGTCTCACAGAGCTGGGCCAGAGACCGGTGTCTTCCTTGACGCCTCGGTAGCTGCCTCCGCTCTGGCTTGGAAGAAGGGAGGGTAAGAAGGGAGGAAGAAGTGAGGGAAGGAGCAAGACAGGGCGGAGGGAGGTTTCCAACTGGTGAGCCGCAAGGAAGGAACGTGAGCCGGGGGCTGATCCTAGTACCTCGATGGCTGGCGACCTTGTGCAAGTCGCCCTTTCTTTGAGCAGTAACTTCGTCGTTGGTGAAGTGGAGGTCAGAGCAGCCAGAGAGGATGGAAGTTTAGAGATATCTAGAAGCTCCTAGCACAGCAGCCGCCACATAGGACTTGCTCAATAAATCCTGAGCTATCCTCCGTCTTACCCTATTTGAAGGAAAAGTTAAAAGCAAATGATCTTGAACCCACGGACCCACGTTGTGGGCGGGGAGGTGGTTGCCTTCAGTACAAGGTGTTCTAGGGCATCTTCTCCCCCACCTGAAGGGACGAGAGACCCCGTGGTGACCCCCCTTCTCCTCCCTGCTTTTTCCCACCAGGCTGCAGCCGCTGCACGTGTACTCGGTGTGCCTGTTGGTGGGACTGTTCTCTCTTGTTCCCTGGGGACCTGTCTGGGAGGTGCCCAAATTCCACTGGGATAACTGCCGCCAGGCTTGGTGGACGAATCTGCTGTTGCTGAATAACTTGGTGTCGGTGCAGAATGCGGTGAGTCTCACACAGATGTAACCCGGGGTCTCATTTCACATGGTTTGCTGAACTTCCCAGGGCCAGCCTGAAAGTTCTGCCCCTTTCTTTCGGCATATTTTCTGGAGTAACAGTGATGCTGTGGGAGGGGGTGGTGGGTGGCAGGCCAGCCTCCTGTCCCAGGGTGGGTGTGACCACACCTGTCCACACGCCAGGGCAGATCCTGCAAACAGCAGAGAGTGGGCATCATGGCAGTGGCCAGCCAGGGGCCAGATGTCCTGTGGGGTGTCCCCAGGCATTAGAGCCTGCTGTATCTCAGTTCTTGTGCCAGGAACACATCGCCCCAGGGGAGAGGACACTTTCTTTACCTCTGCACAGAAAGCCTGTCCTAGGTTGGGACATTGTGCCCCACCCTCACCATATTGTACCCCTTTGTACTCAATTCCAAGCCAAACCTGACAGAATTGGTTTTGAGCAACAAGATCCAAAAAATGTGTATGTCGTGGGTTCCCTCAGAGTCCTAATTTCCTCATAATGGACTTGAAGCAAATAAAATTGTTGTAATTAAATCACACCATAAATTCCACATATATCCTAAAATCGAGGCTGAAAAGAGAATCACTAAAGCTTGTTGGGGCCCTAATTATTGCACATATAACCATTCACTGCCTAGACAACTGCCTTCAGGTGGCAATAACTCAGCAGTGTCCCCCGGCTTGCGGCCCCTGCAGGTGGGGCCCACCTCTCAGAGGGCCTGTCTGTGACAGGGGTCTACATGGATAGTCCAGGCTGTTTTCCCAGATGTAGGCTGGCTTGGGCCATTTGCCACCAGTCCACCTTAGATCCTAGAAAACAGAGGTGCCAGGATCCTCAAGCCTTGGAGAGAATTTCCCCCCAGAACTTCCTTCCACCTTGAAGAAACAATACAGGTAACCACCTGACTGTGCACAGGTGTGGCCAGTCTGTGGCTTTGGCAGGATGATCCCGTGTCAATCATTTGTGGGAGTTCTGGGCGGAGCTCTGGGGTTCCCATCAAGCTTGTCTGAAGCAGGTCTTGGTTTTAAAGAACACATTCTCTCCACCTAGAGTGGAGGTTGGGGTCAAGGAAAAGAAAAGAGAACAACATTCATTACCTCTCTGAGTTCCAGGTGCGTCCTAACAATGATACCACCTCCCACCTCCCATTCCTAGAACACGGCAGAGTCACTTCCCACAGCTATCTGAAGAGATTCACTAGGATTGTATTTTTATTTTTTAACAAAACAAAGGAAAAAACTTGTCTGAATCTCCTGGCTTTTTTTTTTTTTTTTTTTTTTTTGAGATAGGGTCACCTGAGCCAGACTGCTGTGGTGTCAGCATAGTTCACAGCAGGCTCAAACTCTTGGGTTCAAGTGATCCTCCTGCTTCAGCCTCCTGAGTAGCTGGGACTACAGCCACCATGCCCATCTAATTTTTCTATTTTTTGTAAAGACGGGGTCTCACTCTTGCTCAGGTGGTTCCCAAGCTCCTGTTCTCAAATAATCCTCCTGCCTCTGTCTTTCAGAGTGCTAGGATTATAGGTGTGAGCCACTGCACCTGGCCTTGAATCTCCAATTTAAAAAATAGTAATAATAATACCTGCCAGCCAGCCTTATTATAAGAACTGAATCCTTCCTCCTAGTCCAGGCGGGTGAACAGTGTGGAACAGACGTGGTAAATGAAGGAAGGAATGACCTCTGCTTCTCTCTTTCAGTGCAATGGTTGGACGTGGTACCTTGCCACTGATTTCCAGTTCCATCTCACAACACATCATCTTCAACTATGGCAAGTGAGTCTAACTGGGGCAACTTTTTCTCCTCAAGTGGCCTCTTTCTCTTTCTCTTATTTTTTGAGACAGAGTCTCACTCTGTTGCCCTGGGTAGAGGAGTACTATGGCATCAGAGTTCACAGTAACCTCAAATTCCTGGGTTCAAGTGATCTTCTTGCCTCAGCCTCCTACAGCAGCTGGGACTACAGGTGCCTGCCTCAGCCTCCCAAAGTGCTAGGATTACAGGTGTGAGCCACCAACGTGCCTGGCCATCATATGGCTGCTTTCCCCAAACTCTTAGAAAGGGCTTCAGTTCTATGCAGAAGAAATTGACCTCTCAGAAAAGGAAATACCAACTGTTCTGCTTTTCATGTTTCCAAATTCTCTCCCAACATTTGTCATACACAAGGCAGGGTGTTTCTTGCAGAATTATCATCAGTGTCTATATGGAATATCTAATGTCCACCTTTTTCTATGTAACTGATTTTATGAACATTTCCACATATTGAAATGCTCATAAACATTTCATAAATGTTCATAACCTGCATACCTGTCTATTTTAGGATTTATATAACATTTTTATGGTTGGGCATCTAGATTGCATCCAATTTTTCATGATTATACATGGCTTTGCAATGACTGTCTTTGAACACACTACTTTTTCTTAGTTTGTTCCTTGGGGGCAGATTTCTGAGTGGAATTTTAGGTCAAAGAGCAGGAACAATTTTGCGGTGCCTGTCACAGTATGAGATGGTTCTGTGGAATCAGCAGAGTAATTTACAGTGCTCTGGGCAATATATCTGTGTATCCTCTTCCTACACTTGGCATTTATCACCTTAATTTTTGTTAGTTTTAGAAACACCTTAAGGTCTCAATAATTTGTGGAAAGCCTTATGGTTTGTGGATTACCCAGGCCACATTTTAAGAGATTTATTGTTATTTTTTTATAAAAATCTATGTTCAATTTAAGGGATATTGGAAAACATCAGGATTATGGAAAGAGAAAACAATCCCTCCATCTTGTCACTCAAGGCAAGATGAATTCATTGCTAATATTTTGGGGCTTATTTTTCTGACATTTTTTCTGTGCAGCTTTTTACATGTGAAAGCATTCTGCATATACCCTTTGGTATCTTTCTTTTAGCAGTTTTAACATGTGCATTTCCCTATATTATTTTACTTTATTTTATTTTTATTTTCTCTATACATTATATATGTGTTTATTTTTGGTTTCCACTTTTGGCCTTCACAAAATTAAAAAGGCTTAAAATTTAATAACAATGTTTAAGATAAGGACTAGAAACAAAAACCTTGTAAAGAATGAATAAAGAGGCTCGGTGTCTGTGGCTCAAGTGGCTAAGGTGCCAGCCACGTACACCCAAGGTGGCGGGTTCGAATCCAGCCCGGGCAACAATGACGGCTGCAACCAAAAAATAGCCAGGCATGTGGCAGGCACCTGTGGTCCCAGCTACTTGGGAGGCAGAGGCAGAAGACTTGCTTGAGCCCAGGAGTGGGAGGTTGCTGTGACCTGAGATGCCACGGCACTGTACCCAGGGGGACAGCTTGAGGCTCCTGTCTCAAAAAAAAAAAAAAAAATGAATAAAGATAAATACATTCAGAAAAGAAATCAGACGATTGCTACAACGAAATATTGAGCAATAATAATGCAAAAAAAGTAACATTCACATTGTCAGATAAAAGTATGTCTATCATAGAATCTTTGACTCTGAGGTTCAGTATGGAGTCATCAGTTAACTTCTTCCCCCCCCCCAAAGTCTCAAAAAATAGACAACTAATATTTATAAATAAAAACAGAAGATAATTTCAAAAAACAGATCATGCCAAATCTTATAGACAATAGAAAAAGAAGAAATACTTCAAAACCATTCCCATGGGTGAGGAGGAGAAGCTGAGCCCAGACCACAGTCAGTGCCTGTAGGTACAGGCAGGGCAGGTGTGAGGCTCGGAGGCCCCCAGCACTGGTAGAGGAGAAACAGCAGGCCCTGTAGTTCCCCTTGGAGCCAATTCTCTGACTGCTGGTCTGGGTATTTAGTGAGTAAAGGGCAAGAAAAATCCAGTGTGGAGTCCTGGCCTGGACTAGGGGCTGATGGGGCTGACAGAGGCCTTGGTGGCAGCCTGGGGTCTGTCAGACCAGAGGGAGATACTCTCTGCTTTTCTTCTTCCTCTTGGGCTACAGCTCCCATGTGGGCCTTTCCGAGCCATGGACACCCTGAGAGAACAGTGGTGGTGGGCAATGCGTGAAACTCTGGTCCTTCCTCTATCCCTTATCTGGGAGCAGCCCTCCCAGAGAGCCAGCAAATACAGATGCTAACCGAAGGTGGCCACGTGGACTGCCTTAGCACCAGGCCGTTTGTGCCATGGCCAGAGTTCCAGTTAGCAACACAGGACTAACAGGAGGGGAGGTGGGGCCTACGCCCTCTTCAACATTTACCCTTTCCCTATCTGGTTGTTTGGTTGTCCATGTATTAACCTGCTAGTACCACCACTGCAAAGCACTACAGACTGCGTGGCTTAACCAATAGCAATTGATTTCCAAAATCCAAGATCAAGTTGTTGGCAGAATCAATTTCTTCTGAGTCCTCTCTCTTCAGCTTGCAGATGGGCATCCTCTCCCTGAGTCTTTTTTTGAGACATGGTCTCCCTCTGTTGCCTGGGCTAGAGTGCAGTGGGATCATTAATAGTTCACAGTAACCTCAAACTCTTGGGCTCAAGCCATCCTCCTGCCTCAGCCTCCCAAGTAGCTGGGATTATAGGCATGCACCACCATGCCTGACTAATTTTTCTGTTCTTTGTAGAGATGGGGTCTCACTCTTGCTCAGGCTGATCTTTCTGATCTCAAGTGATCCTCCCCCCCTTGGCCTCTCAAACTGCTAGGATTATAGGTGTGAGCCACTAAGCTAGACCTCCCTGAGTCTTCACATATTCTTCCTTTTGTTTCCAAATTTCCTCTTCTCACAAGGCCTCTAGTCCTCTTGGATAAGGGCTCAGTCCAATGACCTCACTTAACCTTAATTATCTCTTTAAAGACTCTCCAAATCAAGCCACATTTAGACTTCAACATGTCACTTTGATGGGAACACATTCAGCTCATAACATTCTATATCAGGAAGCTGTGTTAGTTCAGTTGAAATGGTGGTTAGCTAGGAAAGACCTATAGAGTCTGTAGCAGAGACTACATCTACTGAAAGTAGGTGGGGACTTAAACACATATTTACTTGGGTGGATGTGGGTTTTTGTGGGATGGCCCGACTGGATGGTTTACCACTAACCTAGGACAATGAATTCTTAGTACTTTCCTCCCACCCTTTTCTAGACCTGGGTGGGAACCCACGTGAGGGTCCTTGTGACTGAGGAGGCTGGCCCCCACATCAGCATCTTCCCTAGACGCTATCATGGAAGGTAGATTTCAGTCGCTTAGCTGAAAGCTCATACTGTCCAAGCTAGTGACTATACAACTACATTTTAAATGGAGGAAGATATAAACAATAGGGCTTTTTTCATTTACAGAATATATTTGAGTAGAATACCAATGGAATCAGGTCTTTTTAGAGTTCAGTAATATAAGGAGACCAGAGCTACAGGGTTTGGAAAAAGTCACCAAAAATATATAGTATTTTTACCACATCCCTTTTACTTACCCACACTCAGCAGACATTTATTAGTTAATCACAGCACCAGGAAGCTAGGATTAATCCTTCTTTCCAAGCATTAAACTGGCACTCTGGGTGGAAATCACTTTTTCCCTGCATCAGTATGCTGATAACTAAATGGCATTTATCTCATCCCTTCCTCATGGAGAACCCCTCAGCCTCTCCAAAGGCAACTTTGAGCAGTGGAATAGGATTGTCAAAGGCATCATCTGGATAGGGTTGTGCTGGATGGTCTTATGCTTGTGTTTGACATTTCTTGTACACCACTGCAAGATCCTCTTAGTCCCAGTCCTCATGATTCTGAGCAGGTGCAACAGGATAGCAGACAGGGTCTTGCTCTGAGCCTGTATTCTTTCACAAACCTTATCTGTCCCGCCCCAGAACCTCTGCAGCACCATAGCTGGGCCTCCCTTGGGACCTTCCTGGCCTTACACATGCATGATCCCAAAGTGTGGAGTAATTAATTTATGTGGGGCCACCCTTGATCCATGGGTGATAGAAGACAGTAGGAAAAATCCTCCTTCTTTCTTCTCCCAGGACAATTTTGAGGTTCATTTCATAAGACTCTGCAGAACATTCTGGAGGAATTGAGAACTGGCTCTTGTATTGGCTTTTCCGGTTCTACTACCTGATCTCTTATTTCTACTCCTACCTCCTACACGAACTATCTACTGGGCACTCAGACGTTTGCCTCAGGCATTGCCTCCAGGTTGAGGAGGAGGGGAACACTGGGACACCTTCCTTCTTTGTCCTCTCTGCCCTGAGCTTGGAATCAAGTGCCATGTGTACCCTGTCCTACCCTGCTTTTCACAGTCCTCTCTCCTAAATGAACCCCCACTTGTGTCTATATTGTGTTTCATAGGTGACAAGGGACATTCCCAAGCAAGGTCTCATTTGGAGCTGCACAGTTAGCTTCAGGGTGGAGCAGGCAAGGATATTATTGCTATTCCCATGTAGATATGAATACTCAAGTTCAAGGCCCTGCCTTGGTCACACAGGTAAAAAATGGCCAAGAATCAAGACCAAAGCTCAGCTCTCTGCCCCCTCAGCATCCCCAAAGCGCAGGCTGCAGGATGCTCCTCTGATTGTCACAATTTCTAGCTGTTTGTATCCATAAATGCTGCCGTGAAAAACACTGAACGATGCCCTCCCCCACATCCTCTTTTGTTTGCAGGAGTAAACACGTCCTCATCCTCCTGGGGCTGCGCTGTTCTCGGCATGGTTCACTGGTACTTCTCTGCTCACTCTTGCTTACAACCTTCCAGTGGCGTCGCCGACAGAGGCCAGGTAAGGCAGCTCCTGGCCTGGCTTCTGCTCGGCCGAGA